CTACCACTTCAGTACTTTGCAGCTCAACTTTGCATCCCATTTCCAGCTCTCCTGACTAACGAGTGTTCAATGAATGAGCGAAGCACTCTCAGCACAAAGACATTTTGGGAGGTGCTAAAACAGAAAGTAATATTAAAGAAGGAATCAAGGGAAATTCAGAATCTGTGAAGGAGATGTACGTATCGCTCTTATACCACCAAGCTTCAGAGTTGACATATTTAAAGTGATTGTAATTTTTGATTAAACAGTTTCACTCCTCAATAAGGAACTGGAGACGTACAGTATCTCCAGCTGTATTTCCTTTGTTGCCTGAAACCCAAAGTATACAAAAACCATAAACAATGGTGTTTCACCTACGTACATTAAAAAAATGGAAACCATGTTTCTTCATACAGTGGTGGAAAGCATCAACAAAAAACACTTGCTCTGTGACAAAAATCACATTTTTCAAATGACAAACCAAGCCATCATACAGAAGGAATTCACAGTGACCTGAGAAGAAACCAGCAGTGCTTTTAGAGCTATGATCTCAATTATCAGAAAGAAAAATCTGCTGATCTTGACAATAAAAATTGAGCTTCCTTGAGAAAAAGTTCATGTGTAAAGCTAAAACCAATAAGAATACAAAATCAAGAACACCCTGGGATTTTTGATGACCACAAAGAGTCAGGACCTCAATTTTACTTTTTATCAGAAAGACAACACCTTTTTACAGTATAGTGTCCCCATCACTATACTGGAGCATTAGGACCCACACAAGTGTTAAGGTGTGTCAAAGAAAACTCTTAATCAGCACTTAATTATTGCTGTATCCACCTTCAAAGTTGCTGGTAAATACTTTACCTTAAAATTAGCTAGCAGTGTTTATGCAATAGACCAGCTAACACCTCAATTATTTGTCATATGGAAGGTGAAGAATGTATGAATATCAGTAAGCCAAACCTGAATTATAAAGCATTTAAGGAATTAAAAGCCTGGTTAAAACTTATAAAGAAATAACAGATTAAATCGTGAGAACAAATCAAATCAATATACAGTAAAGTTTTGTCTTGCGTCAAGATATAAGATAAAGGTAGTCTTGAACTCGTGGTTTGAACATTTCAAAACAACAGCCTGTAGGACAGGTGAGTCAAACATAAGGGCCTGCATCTGGCCTGACAAATTAATTTGTTTGTCCCACATAGCAGTTACAATCAGAGTCATCATTATTTGTATTTTAAAAGGATACATGGTGCTGTAAATACCATAAAACCTACAAATAAATAGTAATATGTAATGATTATGCCTAGTGTTTTTGATCATTTATGGTTTGGATGGCCTGCTTGGAGTACATTTAAATATAATCTGGCCCACCTTAGGGTGTGTTTGACCTTACTGGGAGCAGTGCAGATCCTTCGCTGTGCGTGATCGTGGATCTGAAGGGAAGGAGGCACGAAAACGCGCTGTTGCATTATTTTCTTTTCTGCAGAAATGCTGCAAAAGGGTGAGAGAGGTGCCCCAGGAGATGTGGGACCACGGGGCCCTCCAGGTCCTCAGGGCCCCCCAGGACTGCCGGGCCATGGCTTGCCAGGACTCCCAGGGAAGCCCGGCCCCCCGGGTCCTCCAGGATATCCAGGGATGGGCAAGCCCGGCATGCCGGGAATGCCAGGAAAACCAGGAGGAATAGGCCTTCCCGGGCCGAAGGGTGAGCCTGGTCAAGGTGGAGCCGAGGGGCTGATGGGGATGCCGGGACCCCAGGGGCTTCCCGGCCCGCCAGGTTTGCCCGGCGTTGGGAAAGCAGGTGGGCAGGGTCTGCCAGGACAGCCAGGGCTCAGGGGTGAGCCGGGGCTCAAGGGGCCACCAGGCCAAGCGGGACTGCAGGGACTCAAGGGCGACAAAGGGATTGGTCTGCCTGGACTGCCAGGTTTGAAGGGCCCAGCTGGGCCACCAGGCCAACCGGGGCCAATAGGTCTCCCTGGAGTAGGGAAACCCGGGCTCAATGGGCTCCCTGGGGCCCCAGGAGGACAAGGAAAACCAGGCCCCCCCGGGGAGCCAGGTGTACAAGGGCCACCCGGGCAAGGTGGACAGCCAGGACCTGCTGGCTTACCAGGAGCCGGTAACCCGGGCCATGACGGATTACCTGGCCGGCCAGGGATTCCCGGGGGGAAAGGGGAGCCCGGCCCTCCTGGTTTGCCGGGGGCTCCTGGGCTACCCGGGTTTGGCAAGCCAGGATTTCCTGGCCCAAAAGGTGACCGCGGGTTAGATGGCTTAGCTGGTCCTCTGGGGCCCAAAGGAGAAAAAGGCCATGCAGGACTCCCCGGGGTGGTGGGTCCCCCGGGGGCAATCGGCCCACCTGGTTTACCTGGTCCCATGGGTCCACCGGGAGGTATTGGCTTCCCGGGTCTGAAAGGGGAAGAAGGTGCGGGGGGTCCTCAGGGGCAAATGGGTCCCAAAGGTGAACCGGGCCCTGCGGGACTTCCAGGCCAGCCCGGATTTCCGGGAGAGGCCGGCCAGCCGGGTCCCAGAGGGTTACCGGGGCCTATGGGGCCTAAGGGGGAAATTGGCCACAAAGGCTTGCCAGGCCTTCCAGGTGTCCCTGGCTTGCCTGGGGTGAAGGGGGAGGCGGGGCTGCCGGGAGAGCAAGGCCAACAGGGCCCCAAGGGTATCCCTGGAATAATGGGCCCTGGTGGTCCTCTGGGCCCTCCAGGGCTACCGGGATCAAAAGGAGAGATGGGGCCGCCTGGTCTGCCGGGCATTCCCGGGGTAGGAAGGCCAGGGCCCCCAGGACCTGCTGGGCCGCAGGGGAAGCCAGGAGCCTACGGGCCTCCAGGACAACCTGGGCAGCCTGGGCAGCCCGGTCCCCCAGGTCCACCTGGTCCCCCGGCACAGCCCCCAGGCGTCGGCCAGATAATGGGCCCAGGCTTGGATGGTGTGAAGACCCCCCCAGGGGGGTACAAAAAGGGGAAACACGGGGAGGTCATGGGTGGAAATGGGGGCCTCCTGGAGATGCCAGCGTTCACAGCCGAGCTCACGACACCATTCCCGCCCGTAGGATCCCCAGTGAAGTTCGATAAAATCCTTTACAATGGCCGACTCAGTTACAACCCCCAGACAGGCTTCTTTACCTGTGATATTCCTGGAATTTACTACTTTGCGTATCATATCCACTGCAAAGGTGCCAATGTTTGGGTGGCACTTTACAGGAACAGTGAACCAGTTATGTACACGTACGATGAGTATAAAAAGGGCTTCCTTGATCAAGCCTCAGGAAGTGCTGTTCTCCCTCTTCAACCAGGAGATAAAGTGTATATTCAGCTGCCTTCAGAGCAAGCAGCAGGACTCTATGCTGGCCAATACGTTCACTCATCTTTCTCTGGGTACTTATTGTATCCAATGTAAAAAAAATGTACACATTCATGCATTTTTTTAAGTAACTTGTTTTTATACTGTTGAAAGCTACGGTGACAAGTGCACAGTTTGGACCGGCTCTTGCAATGTAAAAGTACAAGTGTGAGTTCAAAGGTTCATGTATGCGAAGTGTCTTATAATCATGCTACTGGGTACGTATTTGCAATATCTCAAACTTGTTCCCCTCCCAAAATAAATAAAAATAAACGTGAAATATTATCATGAAAGCTATATTATAGGTTGAGTTCACACGTTATAAAAAAAAACAGCCACATCTTATGTGGATTTCATGTCATTCCTAATCCCGGTGTTTAGTCATCTTCAGCGTACAAATAAATCAGTAAAAATTATTCTTGAAGTGTTTTGGGAAAATCACAGATTGCACTGTCGTGCAATTACCAGCATATGTTTCTGTGTTAAATTGGCAGCTGCACTCAGAAAAGATTGTAATGAAAAAATGTGAAATGAAAAATTGCAAAACTGTTTTTTTTTTTAGATAGTAACGTACAAGAAACAATGTTTTGCGAAAGTTCTAGGATTAGTTTATAAGAGACCATTGAAATAGAAGACATAGCTATCAATAGAGAGGTACCTTATGTGGTACGCATAATGAATAAACGAAAATCTGCTAATTATTTATTTAAAATAGTTTTAAAAGACTTTCAAAAAATGGTAATCATAAGCAAGAACATTTAAAGTTTCAATACAGGGTACAGGTGAATGTTTTCTTTAAAATAGGAGAGACTATTTACAAATCGGAGAGGCGTAAATGCGAAGTGAACTACGTACAGGACAAAGGTGAGCTATTGAAATGATGAAACGATGATTTGGCTTAATGAAAATGGAGAGTAACGGGATATCTAAAATATACCTAAGATCCCAGAAGCAGATAGACATGGCTGGTTTTTTCAAGAGCTCAGGTGAAGGAGCCATTTCATAGTGCAGAATAGATGAGAATCTTAATTTATGCCGGCAAGCGCCATCTGTGATTTTATTTGCAGAAGTAAAAACATGTGTCTATACCGGGTCTCTCTCAGTCTTCCCATCTCAATGTATTATCTCTAGGGTCAAAGCTACAGTAAGTGGTGTGCATCTCGTGGTCTGGTGCTGCTTGGCGGTAGTTAGTTACTGTCTTAAGACACCCATACTTATTTTTGGCAACTGTGTTCAGAAAGGCACATTGAGGACACAATTTTACATTTACATTAAATATACAATAACATTTCAAATTTCAAATATTTCAAATTTCAAATATTTTGTCTTATTTTATAATAAGACATAATGTATTATACACATACAACACTTTTTTTTTACTCATTGTAGAAATACTTTCTCAATACTGGATTAAAATAACCCACTATCAAAATGATAAAAACGTAGCCATAATTGCACACTGTATTTATTTCATACTAGTCCTGTTGATTTTTTGCCAAATTTTCAATTGCACTATTTTTTTCACATATAAAAGGTATCAGCTTAAAGCAGAGGAAACTTCCATAATTCCTCGGCACTGTAATTCGACTGAATATTCAGTGTTTCTGTTTCACGGTATAGTAATGTTTGAGGAAATGAATTAATAAAATCATCCTATCCCATTATGCATGAAAAAGAACTCTCTTTCACTCTTTGTCCTCAATGATCCAAGATAAATAATAAAAGCTTTCAATTAGCTGGGAATTCAGACGGAACTTTGCTAGGGATTTAGACATTCCCTAGTACCTCTAACAAGAATTCCTATGAGGGAAATCACAACAGAGTTTAGAAGTAATCATTTCCTCGGAATTACACTGTTCTGCAGTTCACGACCATACCAAAACCAGCTACCTATTTCTGATTATAAATGAACCCCTTTGGTATGGACCAAGATGGCATAAATACAAAAGGCTACCTACACCAAGTTACATACTGGCATGTGCTGACTGCTGTTGTCAGGAAGGTGTGGAAGTAATGGTGGACAGATATTACTGGGTGTGATGGGAGTGATGCTGGACTGGTAACGCAGAGATCAGAGTGTATGGGGGAGGGGTGGGTTAGGTCATGTTAGGGGAGGGGTTGTTTTACTGTGCCTAGAGCAACAGAAAGGGGGAATAATTTTTACAGTGATACGAAACAATCCAATATTCTAATGAAAGCCGCTAGATCTAAAATGGATTTGTTTCAGCTTTTGTCTCTGTAATTTATTTGTTTGACTACTGATTGCCTAAATTTGTATATGAGCATAAAGGCAGATGGGCCTCATGAAGAAAAAAATAACCATGTATAAATTCTTTTTTTTGTCTGACAATGGTGCTAATCACATAACCAAGTGGAAAACTAAGTTTAATGTTTGTTTCTTGTTTTGTTTTTTTTTTTTAATAAAGGTGAATTAAAATGAATGATGTGCATTTTTTGTTTTCTTTTGGTCTTTCATTTCTGTGAGAACAGTATGTACCATAACAACAAGGGAGACTCTTGTTGAAAAGTCATAAAACTAGAAGCAGAATACAAGGAAAGAAGTTCACTTAACTTTGGAATTCATTAATTTTGTCAAAAACCATGGCTTGGTCTGGCCATAAATAAATTCTGAATCTGAGATCTGAATCCAATCCCCAGATTAAATAATGACAATTTTTTTAATGTTGCACTGGAATGTCTATATCAGGGTGTAGCGAAGCATTATTCCACCCTATGCAGACAACACAATCCGGAGGAGTGAGGAAAACACGGGGAAAAGGCATGCAAAGGGCCTGGCAGGAAAACAGGGGGCGTGTTCATGGTGTGCTGGTGTTTTGGGGGTGGCTGAGGCAAACAGTCCAATGGAGCCCGAGGCAAATCCACGGGTGTAGCAAAAGTCCAAGACCGGCTAATCCATCCTGACAGACGAACAGAGTTAAAAGCCAGAGCGGGATCTGGCGGAGGGACGGGGGAATAAAAGGGGGGTCATGGGACCAGACGCTCCCTATTCCCGGACTCAGAAGGTCAAGACACTGTGATGAAGCTTGTGCCATCAAGTCGCTCCTGCACTCACGGATAGGCGGGCTTCTGGGCGTCTATCTTCCAAAGCTGAGCCCCGATAGGCAGGAACGTCTGGCTTTTATAGGACGGGGGGCTGGAACCGGAGGCAGGTGTGGGAGATGAGTATAAAACAAGGAAGGGCTGGAGCGTCCTTAAGAGGAGGGGTTTACGAGCATGACACAGGGACTCTCTGTCATTCTCTAGGGATCTGGAAAGGTTTTTCCAGTTGCTAAGTACTGGTTTTAAGAAATCATCACTTTTACTGCTTTCACGAACCCTTGAAGGGATTTCTTGGAACGTACAGCGAATGCTTCATCATTTCACATTGCATCTTTATACTAATTATGCATTGTGATGGAGCCTAATGTTTAAATTGGATTTCTTGTCTTGCTTGGTTGGTGAGTGATTGTATCTAGTGAGATTCAGTGTCTTCTTACTACCTTTCTGGCCTCAGTCCTGTTATGTACTGACTTGAAAAAATATATGGAAACCAGTGAGGAGATAATATGACTACTAGTGGTGTACCTGCACTGCTGACAGACAGAAAACTACGGAGCATCCAGCAAACTTCTCTCCCCCATTTTTCATTGCAAAACAAAACTCTGTACTCACTGGTAAATAAAACAGGAACAATGAAATAAAGGAATAAACAGTATACAAGTCAGTGAGTTGATGTGATGAAGATAGAAAGGAAATGTTGAACTTTGGGAAAAACTAATTCTTCATATGAAGGTAAAGTCAATACCAGAACCACAGTGGCACATGCGGCCAGACTCCAACTTGGTTTCTGTAGCACCAATAAGACTGCAGATCACCTGACTTCACACCTACTGTAGGTGGAAACTGGACTGGAGCAAGTGGGAAAAAATCCAAATCCAAGAGTACATTCACAGTGTCTATGGTAGGGTCTTAAATCCATAATCTGTAAGTTTTGAGTTCAATACACTAAGCTGCACAACCTGCAAGATACAGAAATTGACGCTTCCAGGGGAATTCACAATTATTAAAGCTGAAACTTATACTTTTTACATATTTCCATTGTATGTCTTGCCTTTTGATTCTTTAACTTTCTAATATAATTTAAGTAAAAAAGGAATTGTACTTTAAAAGCATTAATAGGGGGAGCAGTATTAGACCATTTACTTTTGTGGATGAAGTATTTCGCCAAAATAATTAACAGATTAATAATTAGAACATATCCTTTATCCAAATCAGATCTAAATATAAACATATAAAATATCAAAATCTTTAAATTTTAAAGTAAAAGTTTAACATTTACCTTTAAATGTTTTACAATAACATTTTGCAAATCTATCCAAAACAATTTTGGATATCCTGAATGCAATTAACAAATGAATGTAACAAAGATTCCTTCTCATTATTACAAAATACACATAAGTCATCTTGTTCATGTTTAAATCTAGAAAGTGCCAATTTAATAGGATAAAATCTATGAACGATCTAAAATGAAATGTCTATAACTTTATTTCTAAGACAGTATCTATCAGCAATTGTCCGACTAATTTCCAATTCCCTAAACATAGCATTCCAAAAGGAGACACAAGAAGGTATTAGGCCACCGTACTGTAGGCTTCTTTTGCCTGATGAGCAACCTGGCCTGGCTGCATTCATTGCTGGCGCCAGAAGTGAGATACGAAGTCGGGATTGCGAGATATAAAGTCGTAAATTCGAGAAATGAAGTCGGAATTCTGAGATTTTAAGTCGCAATTGCGAAATGTGAAGTCGTACTTCTGAGATTTTAAATCGCAACTGCGAGATATAAAGTCGTACAGTACTTCTGAGATTTTAAGTCGCAATTGCGAGATATACACTCGTCATTCTGAAATATAACGTCGCAATTGCGAGATACCATAGCGCGTTTTTTTTTTCCACTCCCTGGCGTGAACCTGCTTCCATAACAACCGTGATGCACGCCGCTGAAGTCCTCGCGTGTGTGTGTTTTGGCGTGACGTTTTAATGGACCGCTGTTTCCGTCAGCTGCCAGCAGGCGGCGCGAGCGAGTCAGATTTTCGCCCAAGGCGCGGGAGTGTCAGTTATAACCTGGACTTAACGGCCGGTGGTGGCCGCAATTGTGGAGAAGCGCTGCGGTCTTAATGACCAAACTTTGTACATTTACAGGTAAGCTGACGGTCTGAATTTCATATAAGTTGTGTAAAGACATTAGAGTCACTCGGGTATGTTTACTTTTTTAGTTTTTTTTCTCCCACTTAATTGAAGTCTCTGTTTAAATTTTGAATCTGACGGGTCAGGATATAACAAAGGAGTGGGAACTAACCAACTGAGTAAGCGTTGTGACTGAGTAAGCGTCGTTGGGACACATGACTCATGGTCAAATGTTAAACCAGTTGCAGAGTGTTAAAGAATATGTTGTACTTGTTATTTCTGAATTGGGTTGTATGTACATTTTATGAGGAAATTGGGCAAGATTCCACAGGAGGTCTAGCAATGGGCATTGAAGCGATATCATTTTATACGGAAACTACAGAAGCGCATTGCTGCCATCAAAGAAAAACATATTTCACGTGGTGACTCGTAATTAACAATTAGATCCCGTCATTGCATGACGTTGTACTAGGCTGTCAATAGAATCATTGGTATCTCTTAATTATTATTTACTTTATTAATAACGAGGTACCATAGGAAATGTATTTTATCTTGATGGAAGCAACGCGCTTCCGTAGAATACAGTCTGTATTGGTTATGAAATTCAGTATTACATATAGCATGGAGCTAAAAGGTGCTAGTGATGGTACAGTGTAGACGGACATAGTGGGAGATGTTTAATTGTATGTTTATGAGGAAGTAACCGATTATAACGACAAAATACCGCTGTGGTAAAGCGCAGCAGCTTTAATTATCAGTCTTGGTTAATTCACAGATTTACAGAAACCTAAATGTGTGAAAGCCTGGATGGACACGTCTTTTCATTCCTTTAGTGCAACAATAACTCTCACCACAATGACCCGACTCACCTCGCCTTGTGTTTGCGAAGGACAAAGCAGTATTCATTAGTAAAGAAAACTCTTAACTTTGCTGCTTGAGCGCTTATGCACGAACTTTTAATAAAAAACAGACCTATTCACATCACATAAAAGAGCTTTGCAAAGGGGAGGGCGAGAATGAAACAATCTTTTAACACTATCGCAGCAATATACACGTGCAACATACACAAAGGTTTTCTTTATTGTGTAATTTGACTGGAAATTATGGATTAGTGCCTTCAGAATTTATAAATCAGCTCGTCAACTCTTTCCTATAGAAACCTTTATGTTTTGAATTACTTTGTGGTCCATTGTTAAGATTAGGGATGTTACTGTTCATTGGCAAAAACACCAATTGAAGTATTAAACACCAGTGAAATATTGCCTGACCTTAGTTCCTCTTTTGTGGGATAAATTTTGCAATTATTAAGATGCAGAATAACCTTGGGGCTCCCAGGCTTCCCTTTTTCAGCAGGATGTTTTTCACTGAAGGAGCAAAATATGAGGCAACCAATAAAGACAAATGTGTTGATCCATGCAGGCGTTTGATTATGCCATGTAATGCACAGGTGAAAGAGCAGTAACCTTGAGTATTCTACATCACATATGTTTTCCAACCATTGGAGGCCTAACTCTGTGTGTCCCAGACGATTTCGCACAAACAAGAACAATCACTCCGTACTTGTTTTATTTAAATTCTGCAGCACACATTTCACTGGCACTAGCTAATGTAGTTGTAGGCAGACACCTCTAAGATGGCAAAGGAACACATAAAGGTTTATTCCATGCTGAAAACAAAAGACCTCAAGATTTTGGCTGTGAAGCCTTCTTCAGGTATCACATGCGTACTGATGCAGCTACTGTACATACTGAACTTTTTCAACCTCTAAGACAGGCCAGTTTCATCATCATCATCATCATAAATTTAATTTGCAGTCAGTCATTAGTCATCCAATAATTTCTGGAAAATGTCATCATAATAAGAATCACAATATAGTATATTTTACTAATGGCTGGTAGTACTACATACTATATAATGTGTTCATTTTTTCTGTTTTTTATGCTATTTTTTCATACTATTGAATGCACTATCTGTATTTTATGAATTAATAGAATAGAAACCAAATTTTGAAAGACGTTTCATAGGTAAAACTCCATAAAACTGATTTCTGATCCTGCTAATAGTCAAACCTCCTAAGAAGAGGTAATCAAGACTGCTGATTTGATCAAATAGAATCTCTGGTATTAGGCCAATATATCAATCAAAAGCAATATTAGCAAACTTAAGACCTGGGCAACTGCAAAAAACAAATACTCCATACGTGTTTGTAATGGTTTTAAGATATCACAAAATACCACTTTATAACAATATAAATTAGGCAAAAATGTTCCTTACCAATGTTCCATACTTTTCCTTCATTACTTCAATTAATTACTTTTACTTTAGAATATTTGTCCTATTAAAAATCTTCTAAAATCAAGGGGGTAGGAGATGACTTTAATACAGCATAAAGTGGAGACCAATTATTTGATTCCAAATTAAAATAATCATTCCTTGTCATTCGATCCATTCATTTATCTCAACGTGTGTTTAGAAACATGTTAAGATTCTAAAAAAGGTTTACCAAAAGGTGCTAGGACAAGTGTGATTGTCATATTTTTTCCAATATTTTCTTGGGGGGAATGTAGACAGTAGTTTCATAACCCTTAACTAGCACAAATATTAGCCTAACTACTGTAGTCTTACTCTGTCAAATCAGTCTTTAAGTCTTCACACCCAGTGTGCCTCAGTGCGAGTTTAATATATACAGTACAGCCTTAATCAAAAGACTATAAATATCACACTACTTGCTGCCTATCTAGTGCAGAATTTAACTAAAACAGTTATTTACTTATTAACTTTTCATGTCGTCAACTGGTTAGACAAGTTCTGGTATACTGTTTATGCATCCTGTTTATTGAGTAGCTCCATGGGTGTGAGCAATCATGGTTGTGACATATTTTTCCAGCAGTTCAGTAATGTGTCTGTCTGTTAATGCTCAGATAATATTCACTATGGAGTAATAACACTGATTACGATTTTAGCGTTTTAATATTAGTCATACTATAATTGTAATGCACTTACACGAGGAAACGTGTTTTGTTCAGTAGAAAACCGATACACACTCTTTTACTGAATCTGTACGTTGTAATTTCGTTGTTTTTCCAATGTGCAGCTACCAACACCAATTTTTTAAACAATTACATAAGTGCGCTATTTGAATGCCTTGTCAGATTATTCTGAAGTATTTTGACGTGTTACAATGTTGCTGTTTCAGAGTGAAAACAAATCCCAGATTTTGACTGGACATACACCGAACCTAGTCCCGGAAGATGTACAAAATCAGATTAAAATGTTTAAAAGAGTTTGTAATTAAAACATTGTTAGTTCATGTTGTGTGTCGTCTGTGCATATTTAAAAATAATAGAAGCATGCATATTTGCTTTTGAATTTATGTACAAAGTGCTTGTTAAATCTATATGCTACATTTTATGACGATCCCTAAAGTGTTTCTTAAATTGTTATTTCACAGACCATCCCTAACTCCAGCGGAAGTGTCGTCACTGTCAGACAGCCTTATGGCCAATCAGCGACTGACTTATGTGTTTCCGCTATCCGCATGCCCAGAAAGTAGTTTTTTTTCTGGAGCGAGTTGGCTAGAAAGGAAAACAAGGTTCTTGAATTGGTTATATATGTATAGTTTATGTCACCGAATTATTTTTGTTAAAAATATCAGGCGAAATTAAAGTAAGAGTAAGTACAGCAGCAGTTTTATTAACTAGTTAACGGTATCATCCAAAACAAGGATGCACTGATGTTCATTCCAGTTATATTTACAGCATGAAAATCACGTTGTTCATGGATCATGAATTAATCAATGAAACAGACGCATTCTTTCCTTTTTCTCCGCGTGGTTCTAGTCGTAGTTAGCGTTGTGCTGAAAATCACACACGTTTTCTGGATTTTTAGTATTTTATGTAGAGGTCCCCTTTTTGTGCTTGGTCATTTACTTCTCATTGAAAATAACATTTTATCGTTCTCAAGCATTATAACTCTCTTAGGATATATATATATATTCTCCTATCTCGTTTTGTTCCTTTAGTTTAAAATGCTGTTGTCTTTGAAAAGAAAATGACATTTGTTTTAAAAAAAGGTTGTATCTGCATGCTTTCTCAGCCGACAGCTCATCGCCATGGCTTCGCGAGCGGGACCCCGAGCTGCAGGCACTGACGGGAGCGACTTCAAGCACCGCGAGAGAGTAGCGTCGCACTATCAGGCGAGGTACACTCATTGACGCCTCGAAACCCACCCAGGCACTGCTAGAAGAACATGTTAACATTAATAACGCCTTGTGCGTACATGTAAACGGAGGGTATGGATGACTCTTATTTTCTGCCTTCATTTTATAGCGATATTTTTTACATTGTTTACTTTATGCATAACAACAGGATCATTTGGTAATAACTAATACCGATCATGTCCGTATCTGTACGTTTTTCATTTACCAACAGATTAAGATGAGAGAGAGTCTTTATTATCCCCGAGGGGGTAATTTGTTTTATAGCACCAGTGTTGGTATACAGAAGGACAGAAAAAAAAACCATGACAACATCAATACACATATATATTTCCATATAAAATCAAGTGTTAAGTAAGGATATGGCTACAGGTATGAATGAGAACTTAAATCTATTGTTTTTGGAGTTGGGGAGTCGATATGTGAGTTCTGATGGGAGTCATAGGAATTCATTCGTGTGAAGAAACGGTGGCATCACTGTTTTTTTTTTCTTTGACAGCGTTTCCCTGAAGTCAGAAATTCGGAAGTTGAACTTGGTCCACGTGCTGATCTGGGCCCTTGTAGCAGCACAAGTGATTGTCAACTACCTCAGCCTGGTGTCTCATGATGTGGTGGCCACTCCATACCAGTGGGAGTACCTGTACCTTCTGAGCATCTTCCCCTCCATCTTTAGCTTCATGTCCATGCCTCGCAACAACATCAGCTACCTTGTCATCTCGATGATCAGCGCTGGGCTCTTCTGTATCGCACCCCTCATCTACGGGGCAATGGAGATGTTCCCAGTAGCTCAGCAGCTTTACAGACATGGCAAAATTTACCGCTTCATCTTCGGTTTTTCTGCTGTGTCTGTCATGTATCTGGTCATGGTGATTGCGGTACAGGTGCATGCCTGGCAAATCTACTACAGCAAGAAGCTTTTGGATGCCTGGTTTGTCTCCACTCAGGACAAGAAGAAGAAGTAAAAGGGCAAACCTGAGGCAAATTAAAAATCTTTATTTTTTCTTTTGAAAGAAAAGACAGTTCAATAAAGGGGTACACCATGTAGATTTTACTATGTTTATGCCATGAGATGTCCTACCCATTATCTTACCTCATTAACTACGTAATAATCCAGATTTAGACACTGATCTGTGTCTGAAAGTAAGCATGCACCAAGGATTGACAGAAGTTCAAACTGGGGGATTCTGGCTTGTGTTATGGCCACTCTCGTTTATTTAAGACTACGGACATATGAGACAGGACAATTCTATTTGTTTAATAGTTTCCTTTTTTATTGATGATACAGTTTGGAGGACTGGTGAGTGATGTTTGTGAATACCACATTTTGCTGAGGGTAATGAATTTATGTGTCTGAAGTGAAGCAGAGATAAATACTTTTTCGTTTGAGATACATCTGGTGTATACACAATGTGATGCTCATAGTGCTACTGTATTTTCAACCTCGGACAATAAAAAAAAAAACAAGACGTCTTGTGTTTTCTATTTGAATATTCCAGTAGTTTCCTTAGGAAAAGAGATTGCTGCATGTAAACTCCTGTTTCAAGACTTTCCTCTGCTACTAACTCTGTTACACCTGTGCAGGTTATTATTCATCTTGTGCTCTGTAGGTATGATGAGACCTAAAACCAGATCCCTATTGTAAATGACTATCACAACAGTTGTTCTATGTTGTTCTAATGCTAATCTGAATATATTGCTTTGTGTCTCCTAAAGGACTTATTGTAACCTAATACCATGTTTTTAATAATGCAGTGAACTACCCCTTTTTGAAAGTCCTTAACTATTTTTTTTACATGAATGCAACATTCCTTCTTTCATTGTCCAAAGGAAATAACACGTTTCTGTATTGGTGCCCTCAAGAGACTGTCTTACAAAGCACACGTCACACGTACAGTGTGCAAGGTATTTGTGAGCACCTGGTTTGCTGTTACTAAATAAAAAAACTGCTCTAAGAGCAAAAAAAAAACCCTAGATGCATAATATGTGCATAGGTGAGTTCTAACATTCAGCATGTTGTTGTTATGTTTTTTACTTTTCTTTCTATTGTTAGTCACAAACTGAATGAGGAAAACATTGCTCTGAAAAAGTAAGAAAAAAACTGAAGCAATTTGTTGAGGCTCCTCTGCATCAATAATGTGTTTGTCTGGGAGGGGAGGAGACGTTCCTGTTCATTGAACACTTCTCTACTGTTTTCTAGACATGCCTTTTCTGGGTACTTTGTACTCTAGCTCAAAGTTAAACTTATTGGAACAGGACTCAACCCTTTTTATCTTTAATTGTAGTTATTGCATGGGATTAATTGATCTCTATGAATAATTTAAAGAAAGATAGGGATTATAAGAAGGGTCCCTTTCTGTGTTGATTTCATAGACAATTGTCCCACTTTCAGCAATCACCGGTTCTAAACAAAACTGAAACCTTATTAACTGCAGGTACAAAGTCCATTAGTTCATTTAAAAACAGAGAACTAAACTGCGGAAGTATTAAAAAAAACTGGGTAATAGAATTCCATTGTAATTCAAACTCTGCTCTGTGGTCAGTAAAACCTATATTCTGCTGCCTAATGGCTGAAGAAATATGGTTTGTGCTACTACCTGTGTTCTTCATGAGGGGTAAGAAATTGTTTCTTGATTTAATCTAATGATGCTTTGCAGTCTGTAATGTTATTTATGGTATAGCTTCAATTATGTTTCATTGTAATTGAACCAAAATATTTTT